CAAATCTTCCGAGAACTCAGCCAGGGCATCCTCACCCTCAGTCGTTTTGAGAGACCTCACCAAGTCCTCAACTCTCTCTGCTAACCTGGCATGTCGATCTCTTGCAATGTTGGCCTCCAGATCCATCTCATCCCATCCTGGGTCCATCGATGCGAAGGGATCGTCTTCGTCTTCGTCGTCCCCTAACCAGGAATTGCTCGATACGCGAGACATAAGCATCAAGCCGCCATCCTCGGATCCCTTCTCACTCTCCTCCTTCTCCGCTATTGATGATTCAGGTCCGAAAACGTCGCTAAAATCTTCGTCGTCATCTTCTGCGAACTTCTGGATTTCTATTGAAGATCGCGTTCGTCGCATTGGCCTGTCAGGGAGAACTGATGGTCGAGACAAAGGTTTCTTCTTCATACTACCTGAGCTAGATTCCTGCATTGACCTCGGTAATGATGTAAGATCAGATGGGTGAAAGAGTTGTGGTGCATCGGTCTGTCGTGAGTTCTGTAGCTATGTGAGCTTTGATCGCATGGTACAAACACATGTAACTTACTCGTCTGACAGCTTGATTCGCATTGTGAGTGAAGACATTATCATTATCCACGAATAGATCAGAGAAGTCTTCCATACTTTGCTCCCGATAGATGATATCTGGCCTTGGTGGAAGTTCAAACTTGGTATTTAGATTTGATTTCGTCGGCGATCTGGTCCTGCTTGCACCAGCGACCTTGCTTGAGCTTGACTTATTCCGACTGTGCGTTTTCGTAGGCTCCGAAGACTTCGTGGGCTTCTTCGGTAACGGTCTGATTGTCTGCTCCTGGGGATCAATGTCTTGCCAGTGGCCTGGCCCCTTTATTGTCATCAACTCGCCCTCAAAGTCGTCATCGTACGAATTACTATCATTTCTTCCATCATTCACTGAGGCAAAGGCTTTGAGACGATCACTCGAGAGTAGACCACCGAAGTTGTCTTGTGGCTTGAGATGAGGCAGTTGTAGTGCGCTTGGTGAAATAGCTGTCGCAAAATCATCGTCCCAGTTGTCATCATCTGCGATACGGTTAGGTTTGGGCAGAATACTCAGACAGCGAGACTTTAACACACCAGCTAGTTCAGGCTTACTGAAAGCCCCTGCGCCAGGACGTAGTTTTGCAAGTGATAGACCTCCCTTGGCTGGAGTTCCACCAAGAAATCTCGACGAAGGCCCGGCATCAGAACCAGTCGATTGTCGAAGTCTTGGTCCGGAGGATTTTAGAGCTTTGTTCCATTGCTTCACTTCCTCCACAGCATCGCTGAAATTGGCCGGTGTTTTTGATACAGGTGCTTCAGTTCGGCGACAGCCTGTGATCCAGGCATGGCGAAGTAATTTTCGGGCAGTTACACGTAGATTAGGGTCTTTTTGGAAGCATTGCATGAGAAAATCACGAGCAGCCTGGCAAAGATCAGCAAAAACACACCCAAATAGAACGGGGGAGACTCACAGCAGAGATGCCTTCAGGCAGTGGGGGGTGATCGTCGTTGACAATTGCGAATAGAGCAGGCATAGCAGCCAAGTTGTGATATGGCGGCTTGCCTTGAAGAAGCTCGATAACCGTACATCCAACACTCCAGATGTCAGACGCAGAACTCGCTCCGGAAAGCTGAATGATCTCAGGGGCCATCCAATATGGTGTGCCGACAACCTGTGCCTCCTTATCTTGACCACCAGCGAGGGTGCTGGTTGAAACGCCGAAGTCTGCGAGTTTGACGGTGCCGTCCTTTGTGGTGAGGATGTTGGCGCCTTTGATATCTCTATGTATTACACCCTGGTCGTGCAGGTATTGTAGTCCCTGCAGGACCTGCGTCATGTAGACCCCAACCAGATTCTCGGGGAACTTGCCATATGCCTTGCATATTGAGTGCAGAGAACCATTCTCACAATATCTGAGTTTGTTAGTTCCAGAGCTTCAGAACGAGAATCGAATCGCATACTCTAGGATAATGTTGAGGGCGTCAACGGACTTCACAAAGCCAATGTACTTGACAATATTGTCATGCTACTGTTGTTAGTCTTCAGATATGGTACCATTTCAGACCAGGATTCCTACATGAAGGTTCTTGAGCAGATCGATTTCACTCTAAACAGCACTCACTCATGTCAGTTCGTCCGAATCACAAACCATTGAGCTTCAGGGTAGAGCTCAGAAACAACCCACCTCGATCATGCGCAATTCGCTCTTGGGAAGATCTGCAAGCTTGATCTGCTTCACAGCAACCGCCTCGCCATTTCCCCAGTTGAAGGCCTTGTACACAGATCCGAAAGCACCTTTTCCGAGGCATTCACCTAAACGCTAAAAGCAGAAAAGGTAAACGTTAGCGACAACTTTCTACTAAACCCTGCTGCTACTCTCGCTTATCATGATATCCGACTTTCCAGGGATCGGGATCAAGCGCCAGTGATATCGGTAGTTGGATATACGCACGTAGTCCTTGAGCCCTGGATCTTGAAGGGCAGAGCTTTCTCGTATCTTGTCTTTTCGTGAGGGCGTTCCTGGTGTATAGGGTCGTTCGCGGGAGGCCACGGCGGCGCGGCCATTGGCGTGGTACTGCCGCTCGGGCATTATCTCTCAGGCGCTCTCTAACTCAACGATGCTCTGGTTTGGTCGGGACAAGCTGGGCTATGCCTCCTCGGTGAAAGCAGAGGCAGTTCGGCGGAGGGAGGACAAGGTTCAGACCAAGACGGAGATATCATTCCCGGCGAATATCGAAGCAAGGGAGCGGAGCGGCGCAGTGTAATTCGTTTCTACATACGAGATCGGATTCGGTATAGAGCTGTTGTCGTCGAGTCTGGCGAATGTATTTGAGCTCGTTGAAAGCTTGGTTGACGTCGTCAGCGGATGGACAAGGTCCGTCCGTTCGGTCGTTTCGTTTCGTGCGGTCGCTAACAGAACAGCCCAGGGTTAAAGGAGGGACAGGATGAAATAACCCGGGAGGGCAAGGGATTGAATTGCGTGAGAGTTTGTTGTTAAGAGAGGGAGAGAGAAGAGAGAGAGGGAGTGGAAGGGTCGTGAGTAAAAAAAATAAAATGAAGTAAACTTGGAGAAAGCCAGAAAAAAAAAGGAAGGTAAGGTAAGAAACTGGGTGGAAATTCGGAGCTGGACCAAAAAGCCACTGATCTCCAATCAATCATGCGCTGGACTGGACTCGACTGAAGGTGTTGTTTCTCGTCTCAGATTCACCTCCATCTCACTAGACTAGACTCTCATCAGGCAGTGGAGGCTCGCAACCCAACCCGAATCGGCCAGGGCCTGGGGCAGCCCCGTAAGGTGATGCGATGGTCGGTTAAGGTACCTACCTTGAGCTGTCCATCCAATGCTGGCTACTAAGGTACGTGACGGGGTGCCCGGGGGGCCCGTGCCGCCTGCAAGTCCAGCGCTCTTCAACGCCCAGCTTCGGCTTGCAGGGCCATCCCCCACTAGCTCGCTAGGTATTCAATTCTCCACCCTCGACACAAGCAAGCAAGCAACAACACGATTGACTTATAAAAACAATTTCATTGTTAGGACTCGATGATGATGTCAACTTCGATTCTCAGCACCAGTTTCAAGAGACAAAGTTCTTAGCATGTTTTGGAATTCTTCATTTGCAAGGAACGCTCCACCTTTTGAAACAGTTCATGTTCATGCCATGTAAGCCAAGGCAGTGGGATGCATTCATACACAGGCACACGCAACCAATACTGGCTGGTATTCTCTTCCAAGTCAACTACATATCTCATCTCCGCTTATCATTAAACAAAAGTACCGACTTCATAACTCAAGGTACGTCCTCTAATAAACTCCAACAACGGCTGAATATGCTTACCACACTTTCAAAACAAGCCTCACCGTCAACGATCAACTTGGAAACTCATCCGTCGCACAAACTCTATAGCCGTCCGGGTTATTCTCTTTCAGCCAGCTCCTCCGACGCCTCAAATACTAAGTAGTTTAGTTAACGTATGTCTTTCCCTGTCAGCAACAACCAACAGCCCAATCGAAATACCTTGCTCTCGAGGACCACGCCGATCCAACCCTCGAGGCCACTAGTTAATGCGTCTCATATCATCCCAGCAAGTTACTCAGCTTGACTTGACTTTGCTTGACTTGCTTGATAGAGTTAAGTTACAAGGCGTCAATGCCAAGCTGGGAAAGATATCGTATCTCACCGTCGATCGATATCGTGCACGGAGACTATCTTTTCTTGTTTTCCTTCTTAAGCTGAACCGCAGACTAAACTGAGATTGCAATCTCATTTCTTGTTCAGAGCGCCTCCGCTTGGCTCGGCATTACGTGACGCTGCCATGACGATACTTCACGCCCTCTACAGACATTGGAGTTGAGACATTCACCAATACGGATACCATATATGTCAATTTATGAGTTATGACATTCGATTTCCCCCTTGATCAATAGTTTGTCCGCAGGGTTGTCTTTGAGTTTGATACATCATGTCGGCAGCCGTGCTCAACAAATCCCTTATACAGTCTCAGGAGAGGCTTATGCCCGCAAATGGAGTGTGCTTTCATTAACTGGGAGCAAGTATTGGACGACGAAAGGAAACCATATCAACTTGATACCTTAGGTTCTCGTATTGCTTCACCGTAGCTGTACATATCGCAAGTTGGCAGCACGTAGCCGTCCCGAAGACAAGGTCCTTCAAGCCACATCAAGATAGATCGACCAGGATCTCACGATGATGTGCGTCTAATCGTGGCCGCTTTATGGACCAGCAATCCCGGCAGTTATCCATCATATCAGTATGTGGTAGCACAAGCAACGGTCCAGAAGTATGTGCTCATTCAACGTCAACTTTCATTAGATCTTCTCCCTGCTCATTGTCGAGCCAAAAATGTTATCAACCGTACAATTATGATACAATCCTGCCGACACTGCTCGGTTTTCCGTTTTAACGCCGTCCGACCAAATAGCAAGTAATCCCGGTATTTTATATCCCGCTTCAAATCGAATGCAAACTGGTACATTGCGCCCTCTTTATTCTGCCCCGTCCCCTGGCAGGGTTCGACTGAGGCCAGCCTCAGCCCACCATTCATCGGGAATATCTTCACGTCGTGCTAGGCTACGCACGATGCGCTGCATTCCCATCCAGTCATCTTCGACGTTTGCGTTGCTGCCTGATGCTGTTGAGCTCTCTCGGTTCTGTCTGTTTCGTTCCGGTCCTTGCTCATCGTCTGAATTGCCCACGGACAAGTGTCCCACCCAAGCAGAACGTGATCGGAGGGAGCGCTCTCGGCGCAAGGCCCTGAGCCTCTGGGAATTATTACTGGGCACTAGTCCATCCGGGGATCTTCGTTGTCTGGAATCAGAACCAACTGCCCCTTCATCCCGAAGGGCGCCTCCATCAATTGGGGCGTCTTGGCCAGCTTCAGGCAGTCTTACGTGAACACGTCGCCTCTCTGCCCGGCGTCTTCTAATTTGATCCAGGACGCTTAGAGTCTGGTCAATGTCTTCAGTTTCGGAGCCTTCGCAACCCGACTCACAGGCCTGGTCAGCCAGTGCGTCAGTGTCTTGGTCGGGCGTGGTGAAAGAGGTGCCTGATGTAGCACCGGCGCTCTGAGATGCAACATTTGATGCAAAAGAGGAACCTGCGCTAGGTGGTTCAGGGTCAGGGGTAAGTGTGGATAGAAGAGTATCCCAGACCTCTGGACTAAGGCTCCTATCACGGTCGCCAAGTCCGTCGACACGCTGCATAGGTGCGAATCGCGTAACCCTGTTTGACGCACGGAGAGCTTCACGCATTGCGGAGCGGTGAGCTCGGCGCTGGTTCATTTCTTCAGAGTCATCTGTGGTAAGCACGGGGTGCATTACAGCAGAAGGAAGTCTTTGCGGTTGAGCTCTATTCTCTTCAGAAGCTCGTCCGGGATGCGCAGCCAACGGTACAATCTGAGTTAGTTGTTAGTAAGAACCATATGACTTGCACAATTGGGACAAAACGTCATCGGTGGTAGAACTTACCACTGCAGGACGAGGTCGAGGATCCTCATTCCAACCCAGATCCCAATCGTCGTATGGAGGCTGTGAATTGGTGTTGTTTCGGTCTTGTGTGTTGCTGCCATCCCTAAACAGAGAGTTTATGCGCTCTTCAAGCATGCCCCTTCTACGATCATCCGATCTGGCCATCTCTCTAAGCACATCGCGAAATGGTCTCGCTCGGCGCAGCCCATCAGGACCTCTCGTAGTCTCTAAATCAGGTGGAAATCCAGCTTCAGCCCATGGAACAGAGCGACCATCTCGGCCGGTCAGAGTACTTGATTGTTGTAGTGAGGCATCATTTAAGCGGTCGCGAATTGAGAAGATACGGCGATGCGCGGCGCGGCGTTCAATTCGTTCTGTGCGTATATTGCGACGAATGGCGGAGCGGGGTGGCGACGTCGCACTGCTCTTCTCTGCAGCTTTGGAAGGGAGATCTGACTCAACGGGGGCAACAAATAATCTGCAAGACAAGGTTAACAAGTGCACGGTGTTGAGAGAAAGAGGCCGTCACTACTGCGACGAATATGCAAAGCACGAAGCGCGCATTATCAAGCAACGGAAGTGCGCATTCGCGACATTTGCAGCATGCCTTTGCGTTGATATAGTGAAGCGATGGCGACAACGACAAGATCGATCGACCGGGGCATCACTACGCTGGCGCGATGGCAACGAAGGTAACGGACGGGTAGGGAAAAACACAAGGATGCGCTTACGGGAGGCCCATGGCTGATTTAGTGGAAAGTCAGTGACGAAAACGAGCGAAAACTGCGAAATGAGGAATCAAAGAATTAAGTCGTAATGATTGCAAAGACCAGAAATTGTTATCATTGATGAAAAGGCGATGAACAGTGATGACGATGCTGCCTAGAGTAGCAAGGTTGATAAAAGCCAGACGACAAATGCGTGAAGCGTGAAGCGGGTAATTAACCAGTGGAGAGGATGAAAGAACGGAGTGGGCGACAGGCAAAGGGGGTGCGGGGGGTTCAAGATGCAGCTCCAGGGCAGGGAGACTGCGATGAAATTATTTGACCAATCAGAGGGGCCAGAGCTCTTGAGGCTGAGAGCCCAGGGCGTTCAGTTCGCGTGCGCGTCTGATAGTGCTTTCTAACGTGTCGCGATAAGGACTGTTAGTGAAAGACTAGCTTCAGCCAATCGACACTAACAGACCGCATCTGGTCTTCCACCGAACAATTAAAGACTACACAGCCACAGAGCCACATCAGACCACTTTTCATCGGCGTTCGGAGAGCGGGTGAGTGTGGCTTTCAACACCCCACCCCATGTCGACATGAATTGCCCCAAAGTGAAAAATGATGGACGTTGGAGCCTCACTCATGTCGTGACGTCTATAACGAAACTCGACTCATAATCATCACCAAATACGCCAATTCGCCCTGGGTCTGACTCAATCAGCATCTCAGGAGCCTCACACGGCATTTCTCCTCCCCAGCGCCGGGCTCCGATGAGATGCCGTCTCACCTAAGTCTTCATCATGTCTTCCATTCAGGAAATCCAGTTCGCCCTTAGCCGTATCAATCGGGTCTTGGCCAGCAAAAGAACACCAGGCTACAGAGATATTCGACTAGGCCTCGATCGTATCAACCGTGTCGTACCAGAGAACCAAGACTGGAAGGGCATTCATGTTGCTGGCACCAATGGCAAAGGCTCAATATGCACCTTTCTTGCTGGTCTGTTCAAGCTCGCTGGTCTCGGCTATGGGAGCTTCACATCGCCTGCCTTTCCAGAGAAGCACAACGGAATCATAATAAATGGCCTTTATGTGAATCCGCGAATGTACGATATGGAAACGAAGCATGTTGAGGAAAAGTACAGTCGAATTTCTGCTGGTTGGAGATACAAGCACGGAGAAGACCCTCCGAGTCTAACACCATTCGAGGTCGAAACAGCAACAGCATTCCGAGTATTCAACAAAATGCGTGTCCCCTATGGTATCGTCGAAGTCGGTATGGGCGGTGCTACCGATGCAACCAATGCTATGAAGCAAAAGTCTGTCACAATCATCTCCAAGATCGGCCTCGACCACCAGGAGTACCTCGGCAATACCATCGAAAACATTGCCAAGGTCAAAGCTGGCATTATGCAAAAGGGTGTTCCTTGTATTGTTGACCACACTAACAAGCCTTCTGTCATCCATGTACTACGAAAACATGCTCGAGAAGTAGGAACAGACATCATCCTCACATGGAAGGGCGAGCCTTTACTGTTAACTCTCGACAACTCAAGATGGATGCTTGAGAGCTATCAAGTTCAGAACCTGTTGTGTGCAGCCATGGCTTTCCGTCATCTCTTCCCATTGCAGGAGATCAACTTGGACAGGCTCATGGAAACCGAGCCTTTCTTACCAGGCCGATTAGAAACAGTTGAAGTCGACGCGTCACTTTCTGGTCTTGAGCCACGGGAAATCCTGGTCGACGGTGCTCACAACATGCTGGGAATCACAGAATTACGCAAACATGTCAACAAACGCCTACGAAGAGATGACCAACCAGTGACTTGGGTTATGGGTATGTCCCAGAGCAAGGACAAGCCTTTCTTCAAGATGATGGAAAGGCTTGTCGAGCCCCAGGACAACTTTGCTATGGTTGAATTTACTCAAGGCCCTAACGATCCTCAGCCTTTGCCTGCCTCGTTCGGTGCCGAATACGCCAAGATGAAACAACTCGATCCTGGCAATGTATATTCAGGAAAGCCTGATATTGCGGGTGCTCTTCCATGGGCTTGCAAGAAGAGCGATGGTGGTCCTTTGGTGGTCACTGGAAGTCTTTACCTGATTCGACAATTATTGAGCCTCAAAGGCATTCGTCGAAGAAGACACATAGGTACGAGAAGACCGGGTAGATCTCAACTCTACCGATATTCCAGGATTGCTCGAGAGAGAAATCTGACATACGAGGAGAGTCGGGAGTTCAAACAGGCGAGACGACACCACCGTCTATCACCAATTCGAAGTGATGTCTTTGCCCTAGTACCCGAAGGCGGCCCTATACAACCACTCAACGTACCCGTCAAGACAAGAGAGCTACAAAGGATGGCTGCGTTTCATCAGAAGCAGGGAGAGGGATATCGGATGTCTATCGCCGCCATCAAGAGGGATATGGAACGCCAAACGAAGGATACAGATAAGCCTGAAAAGGCCGTGGAAAATATTGCCTCCCGTCTTGAAGATTTGGAGGCACAGGCTGCCAAGCACAAGGCGGCATACGATGATGCCATGTTCAAGATCAGGGGATATCGTGCACTACCGCACATGAAGTACAAGAGTCACCGACAAGTGTTTGGGTATCCAGCGACCCCCAAGGCCCCAACCAAGTCCCCTTTCGAACCCAAGTCAAAGAAGCGCAAAGGCAAATCTAAGGGGTCAGAGAAGGACAACAAGGAGAGCTTCAAGGATCAACTTGCTGCGGCAGAGAAGCAAAGGGCACTGGAGATAAAACAGGCCAAGATGAGGGAAAGCGGCGATTCTTTTGAAGCAAAGGTGGCTGCTGACAGGAAAATGTAGTGGAACTTATGATGACTTGGAATGTTTGAATATCTATAACACGAATGTACTATCACAAAGCGATTTACGCATCGGAAGGGGAAATGGAATGGGGAGATTTGGTAGGATATATATGTACAATACCAGGTAGAGGGGTAAAGTCTATCTCAATCTATCATGAAGCTCCAGTCTTCTAATGTGAACACCGTAACCCACTTCATATGTTCTACCTCACGCTTTGGCAATCACAATTCGGTATCTGCTTGATTTGCTTACGAAGTAGATATCACATGATCAGACCCTCACTTCACATCCAACGTTCCCAACTTCTGAATCCCCTCATCTTCTATCTCACCGCCATGTCACCGTCACATCTTATCATCGTCTGCTGCCACGGAGTTTGGCTCGGCGGCCCAACCCTCGGCCAGGATGAAAGCGAATGGCTAATCGCAGACTTTCAGCGTGGCGAAACTCCGACTTTTGTTCAGCATATAAAAGCTGGCATAGATGCCCTCGCTCAGAATCGCCCTGGCTCTGTTTTGGTGTTTTCTGGGTATGTAACCTGGCTGATATTACTGTGGATATTCTGACCACGATAGAGGGCCGACGCGCAAAGAGTCGAGAATTTCCGAGGCAGCTGGCTACAAGAGCATTGCAGCCAAGAATAACTATTGGGAACTGCTACAGGATGAACACATCAACGATGCAGTATGGTTGGAAGAGCGCGCGCTTGATTCGTACCACAACGTCCTCTTCTCCCTAACACTCTTCTATTCCCACTACAAAATATGGCCAGCTCACATCACCATTGTAAGTCATGGGTTCAAGAAAGAGAGACTTGTCGATGGGCACTGCACAGCTATCGGCTTCCCTCTCAACAAAGTTACCTTCATTGGTATAGATCCTCCCGGTATGGCAGCATCTTTGAAAGATCAAGATAAAGAAGAGGCGATGAAGGGTGCTACGTTGGCCATGGGTGAGTGGAGGGATGATCCTCATGGACGAGGGGAGAGTCTTGCTGGGAAAAGGGTGAAGAGGAACCCTTGGAGTGTATGGCAGGGTTTATTTCCAAGTGGAGATGACGACCGCGGTGGTTTGATCATCAAGATGGAGAACGGAAGCGAAGTTATAGACGAGGAGGCAGCGCGGCCTTGGTGATCTCTATCACATCTATGTCTATACCGCAAATCTACAGAACACTTTTCTCCCCTTCTCTGAGATGTAACTTGCCCCTCGGTCCCCTTTCCACGGCTTTAACCAAGAACTGCACAGCATCGTCCACCATCTTGGGACTGAACTTATGTCCAATACCCTCGTATACTCTATCATCCACCTCCAACCCACCATCTCGATACCAGCCCTTTTCGCCCACAGCCTCCTTCAATAACGTCGAAAATTCCTTGGTGTTGGCGTATGGAACCAACTCATCGTCACCGCCCGAGCAAAGAAGTAGCTTCTTGCCTTTGATGCGCTCATCTAGAATAGCCCTCAGGCGAGTCTGTTCGGCAGAGGATAATGCAGATGGGATGGGCGAAGTACCGAAGCAAATAGCCTTGGGATCGTGTTTGCTACAGAGTTCGATGAGATCCTTGGGGAAATATTTGCTTCCGATAAAATCGGCGCCACAGTCGAGATTTGATCCAGCAGCGCGACCAGACATGAGTCCTATCTTGTCAGCTTACGTTCCTCACATTTAGTTAGGATAACTCACCTGCGAAATCAGGGCATCCGATAATCACAACAGCAGCATCAATCCTCTTCTCCCCAAAGAATGCCTGCCAGGCACCATGTCCACCCAGACTCCAGCCAAGGCACACATGGCCATCAATTTCAAGGCCAAGGTACCCGGAAACTAGGTCCATAAGACCGCTCATATCTGACACGCCTCCCTTGACCATGGAAAACATGTCAAGCGCATGGGTCGGATTTCCTTTTTTCCAAGGATGGTTCGCTGATTCGCTCACCTTTCTAGTTCCGTGGTTGGGCATATCAAATGCTAGGGCGATGAGGCCGCGCTTGGAGTTGCTACCAGCATGCGCGCCCCAAGCTCCTATGGTGCGTCTCGCAATATCATTCATAGTGTCTCGTGATCTGGTACGAGGGTGCAGAAGCCATAGGCATGAAACGGGGACATTGGGAGGAAGTTCATCAAGACCATAGACATCGACACGCAAACCCGCCATATGAATGGTCTTGAGGGAAATTTCTGGAGCGGCCGGGAGGCCTTGGGTGACGTACTTTACAGACATGGCGAAAACAGAGAGAAATTTCTTCGTATGAGCAGAATGAGTAGAGATTGAAGTTGCTGTTTTGAAGTGATGTCCATGGATATTCACTATATCCGATCTTCCCCAGGATCGCCGGTGGGTCTAGGGTAGCGAGCCGGTGTCGGCCCCATGATTTGGAGAAGCATCATATCATAGACAAGGATTAAAAGTCACTAAGATGTAAGTGGCTATTCGTATTCAGGATATATCTCATCGACATTTCTGTCTCAAAGGGTGCATTGTGCGGTTGTGGGAAGGTTGTGCGTGGTAAACCTGTGAAGACCTCTCATTTGAGGTTGAAGCTAAACAATAAGTACAAGGAACGCTTGACGAAAGTCACCAAGCTCAAGACCTAACTCAGGCATTTTGATGCAGTGACCATAAGATTGACAACATGTATTCACATTTAAATGCTGCATCTCTCATAATTTCAAAAGAATTATTACTTCACGTCGTGCTGCTATTGCCTCACGCAAACTAACGTATATAAAAAAAGGGGTTAAATAAACCAACATCATCATCCATCGCCATGCTGCTGTAAAGCAGAAAACAAAGAAACAAAAACCTGCCAAGCCCTTCCTCAACGCCGTGTGCGGTATCGTGCCTGTCCCGTTGTCCACTGCCTTATCCCAGTCCAGCCCAGTCCAGTTCCTTATGCTGCCTGCGAAAAAATAATGTGTGCTGATTCGAAAAAAGAAAATTCATTTCATCCGTCTTCTAAGTCCTTTCTACGGTTCAGTACTCCTTGAGAAGTACATCGAACCCTTGTGTAATGGTCTGCCGAGCAGACACCTGAAGTTTTGTAACTCTAGAGTCCGTGACTTTTAATCAACCTTCCAGTGGTCATGCTCGTCAGAGCCTAGGTAGAGCTCGACACCGTACAAAACCATGGTTAGGCCGATGTTGGCCCACTGCCAGTTGCTGCCCTCAACATCACCACCTCGAAGAGTCCAGCCATCTGGACCATCGCTGGTGGAGAAATGCTGTAGGAGCAGACTGGTGTAGACTGCTATTAAAATTGACGGCGAGAACCAGCTGAGAAATCCCAAGAATTTACTTGCAGTCTCAGAGTCCTCCCAATCTGGTTCTTGCATCATGGCTCGCGCACCCGACTCGCGGATTGAGGGGATGATACGGGTAGCGCAGTAGAATACCAAAGAGCGGTATGTTAGCGAAATGATGACTGATGGCGTGATAGTCTGGAAGGCAGCATATAGTAGCGCCAATGACGAGTGGACAGCGGACGGCAATGAGCCCAGCATATGGAGGAAAGTCGAGTAAGATGCCATGATGACAGGCGGTAAAGGTGGAATATCAGACTCTGAGCCATCTTGACCTTGTGTATGGTCTGCATTTTCTGATGGCAGATAATCGGTGAAGATCTGGTAGATGCAGAGCACAATATAGGCAAACAGAAGCGACGACTCAATAGGATTGCCGCGACCACTGCCGATACCAAAAGCGCACAGGAACACGGCAGTTGTCATCGCGATTCCAATAAGAGTGGCATCCAGGTTACCGATTTGAGGGAATTGTGCTACCCTCCAGAGGAAGTACACGGCGCTAGCCATGATGGAGCTGGAGAGCACCAGAAGAACGATCCGCGCCAGGGTTAGCATGTGTCAGATTTCAAGATTTGAGATAAAACTTACCAACCAAGTATCGCTTCTTCCACGGTTGACAAGCCATCTTGTGAGCTGTCCCGCTGCCTGGATGACCAGCAAGGTGCAGAAGCCCTCCAGAAGCTGGAACACGGGCCCCGAATACCGTAGCACATTATCCCATCCACCCAGCGTGATCGTCTCAACCAAGCCGTCCTTGCCAAACATCCATTCCCTCCAACTTGTGCTCTTGGAGTTGAACAGACCACCCACTGTTCGCTCCACCCAATTTGTGTTGTCGGCATCGACAGCGAACTGTCCCAGCGCCCAGATGAGGAGGGCGGGGATGATGATCCACTGCGACAACCGTAGAAATCCAGAAAGGAAATACCGCGAGCGTGACTTTTCTGGCGTCAAAAGCTCGAGGCTGGAATATGTAAAGTAGAAAAGGAACAGGGCTAGACTGTAGGCCAGTCCACTATCGCGACCGCCGACATCGAAAGCGACGGGGATGGAGAGGACGATGCTGAGCAGGAAGATAGAGCTGAATATCGCCCTGAAGAACCACCACATCGGAGCGAAGAGATGGCAGGCGTAGGCCGCGCCGAGGGGAGGGTATCGAGGTCGTGGGTTGCGTTCAGCAGGTGGGCATCCAAGTGCGATACGTCAGGCGATAGCGAAGAATATCGTGACAGCCTAAGATGTCGCCCGGTGTGCGGAGTAGGTAGTTTCAAGGGGAGAATTCACCCATCGATAAGGCTCGTTCGTCTCGATTTCGTCAAAATGCGTGCAATATATCGAAGGTCGGTGACAAGCGGCAGAGCTCGAGCGGGACAAGATGAAGCAGTTTTGAGGTTGAGAAGTTCAAGATCACGATCAAGATAAACGGCCAGTTCCCCAAAGTTGGCGGTTGGCCGGTCTAAAATTCACGGCGGTAGGGTAATGGTACGTAGTGATTTGGAGCTCCCGTCTGTCAAATCTGGGTTCGGCTGTTGCTTGATGTTTGAGTGTGACTTGCGCACACAGCAATGCAATGTGGCTAATCGAGGTAGCGGCCAAATTTTGCTTATCGTCTGCTATCTTCACGTGGCAGAGGCAGCTCAGGTCTAAAGTAGTCACCCGCGCCGCTAAAATCAAGTAAAGTTTGATTATTGGCACGTGCTAATGATCTTGATATTCTCTTGTTTTTTGGTTAATTTAACGGACCAAGTTTCAAGTTTCAAGAAAGGCAGGTTTATGCATCGTGTTTTTTTTACTGATCGACCAAACAGATGCTGCTGGGATGACCTGGGTTGGCTGGAGCATAGCGTCACATCAACATGATAGGTTCGCAGCACATCTCGCAATCAAGAGTCGATCAGTACCTACATAAAGCAGGGCAAGCAAGATCTGGGATAATGACAGCATCAGAGGGTAGCCTCAGCACTGACAAATCTTCCGGTCTAAGTGTTATCAATCACAGAAACCTGCAAGGCCTTAAGGATGATGCATCACCGTGCATACAAATTCTTGATTCAACAAAACCCAGGTCATGAAACCAAGCTCAACTGATGAACAAGTTAATTATTCACAACCTCAAGATAAGGCTCATTCAGCTTAGCTTGTTTGCCTTCCATATCAGGCGTAGCTTACTATAAGGCGCGTCTTGTACTTATCCGTATATGTCTATAACCGACCCCACCTCGCCAAAGCCCTACGCATCCACTTTAGGTAACAGTTTGTCTCCACGTCGTGTTAGAGCCTCCTCATTCTTACTCCTTCATCATCACAACCACCCACCTGTCGAAAGTCACCCTTTTCCTCCCATCACCGACCCCAACAATGTCCTTTTTGATCCCTTTGAATTTTGGTGACCGTGGCATTTTTGTGTTCTTGCGCTAGTGCGCAGATTCTCGTGTCTTGTTACTCTCTTCCAAATCCAACACGACATCTGTTTCCATCCATTAATTGCCTTGCCCTGCCTGCCTATGATTTGAAATGAAATTAAAAACACTGCTCCAGTGAGGCAGTATGGTCTTCCTTCTATCGCACTCCCTCGTGCCAAATGATCTGAAATCAAACGTTGACTTGCCCCCTCCCGACCGAAAACCCGACGCGATGTCGATATAATATTCAGAACAATTGTACCAAGTGTTGCCATTGTAATGAGGAGGAAACTGCAGCGTGGACCTGACGCGAGGGAGAGTAATCTTGGCCAACGCGAACTCATGGTGCCTGCTGTATCAAGTCAATAGGTCTCACGATGTTGTTGGGGCATACAGCTGTACAAATGTTGCGATGCTATAAGATTTACCAGTATGATGCAAGTGCATTTCATTTACACTCCTATTTCTCAATAGCTTGAGAACTATTCCATTCCCATGTTCGTTGTTGTGCATTGTGCTGTCCCTATGGTTGTGGTGGTCACTATGGTCGTGACCATATTGAGTGGTGGCGATGGCCTCAACACATTTTGAGAAATGACTTGGGAGTGGGGGATGATCGCGATGACTTCAAAACACCTTGGAATCATCACGGCGCTGTGTTGGGCGGGGTATCAAGAGCTTCACGTCGCTGAAGCTTCACAATGCCGCTGAAGGCTGCCCACCAGCTGGCAAAGCACCCGCCGCCCAGCAGCACGCTGGCTGCTACTGGCAACCCCGCTTGCCTCACCAGAGCTCACAGCACCACCGCTCGCACTCACACTAGGGAGGGCATGAGAGGAGGAAGGGATATAGTCTGATCTAATTCACCTATTCTCCAAGGGGGAGCAGGAGGCGCCGGGGTAACCGGTCAGGACAAACTGCTCTCGCCTGGTGGATAAGGAATTCGAAAATCCGACGACACCCCGAGTTCGAACCCCGACGACATACCCGACGACAAAAAAAAACCGAAAAATCCCTAGGTGGTGGAGGAACAGGAGGCGCCAGCGCAACTGGTCAGGTCAAACTGTTCCGGCCGAAGGAAATGGCTCGACGACAAACCCCGACGACAAAGAGATGTAGGAGGCTTAACACCAGCCTCCGAACTCTTTTGCCAATTTGGCACATTTTATTTTTATATAAGGTAAATGTGTATTGTATGTAATGTTTTCTTTTTGCAAGCCTTAGAGATAGAATGAAATATGACTATTGAATTGAAATGACTTATGTATTAGATATCCCTATCTTGAAATGAAATTGCAATCTAAGCTGGAGTGAATGATGTATGTTGGTGCTGCGCTGTATAAGTATGCTGTGTGGAATGATACAGGCGACATGACATGGTATGTATTGCAATCTGTGAAAAGATATGCTGAGCAATTGAATTGATGTGAAACATCAGCTCGTGGATGCTTCTCTCTGTATATGACAATGAGAACGATTGATTGATGTTGAATGCGATGCTTCATTATTGGCTGGGCAGTCGATCGCCCAGAGATCGCCTAGCCCTTGGCACTAGCTTGGCGATAACCTCGCTGGCTGTGGATATCAATCACATCAGACAAACACCACAGACGCTCATGAATTGCTTCGCGAAATAAGCTTAAAAACCCCACATGCGCACAGGACATTGCGCTCTCGCGTCGTGGAGAAGAATCCCCGAACTCCCCGAGATTTGCAAAATGAAATGAAAACAGAGCAATGCGTAAATGGTGGAACGCTCTTACGTGAGAGAATGACAAGGCGATACGATCTCCTTGAGCTCCCTAAGGCTTGTGGGTCCCAGTGACGTGACAGCCAACCAGTATATCTGCTTGTATTAGCTAAGCGATTGGATTTGCAGCCTGCTATTCGTCTAGCGCGGGACCCACAAGCCTTCGGGAGCTCAAGGAGATATGGCATTAACTTCGCGACCCCAAGGAAAGCCCGACGAGCCGCAATTCATTTCTCCTAGCCTAATGACGCCTTTTAGGGATTCGATGATGTGACAGCAGGGTCTAAAGTAAACGACCAAGACGGGAATGGTACCACTCTTATTTCCATGGAGAGGGGTGAAACGCTCGGACCCTCGGGATGCAATTCGTTGGTCAAGGCAAACTTCAAGCCTGTTGCCATTTTTGGTTTCCTTGGACACTAGCGATTGCATCATTCCTGGAGACTCGGGCCATTCTTGATCATCTCCCCGTGAGCAACGGCGATTAAGAACAAGGCTTAACGGCTATCGAAAGAGAGACCGATTGAAACATTCAGGAAGTCTTCACCAAGAAAAGGGTTCACAAGTAAACATTCTGATGAATTGACATTGATGTGACGTTGGGCCTGCATACGCCTGCAGCGAAGATCAGAACCTCAATTGCTTGTTGTTGGTTTGGCTCAAGCATCCTTCGCTTTTGAGCTCAGATCAATGTTATCACAGCTGACCACAATCACATCCGATCATCCACCTGGTCAACGCCTCATCAATAGTTGATTGTTGCTCACTATGCGGCCGAATTGCGTGCGATCTATCAGTATCAGCTTGCAGGAACAGGCTTGCAAAGTCGGACTCGCCTCCATCGCTCATGTACGTAAAAGCTACGTTACGCATGCACCACAGCCAAAGACCCCACGCGTTGGAAGACAGTGCTCCAGTCAGGAATGTTGAAATCACCTTGTTTTGAGCCCCTGCCAGGCAGCAGGGAATACATCTGGGATCGACCTGACGGAGATTCCGGTGGATTTGCACCTTGGGCGATGATGCGACCAAAATGGGCCTTTACTGGCTGACGTGCAGCTTCAGTCTGGGTCGTCGGGGTTGTTAGAGGTCTGGTACGGATGTTCGGCACATGGCGTGGACCGGGTGGGGGCCCCGTTCGCCGCTCCGGATAGATTTGCGGCCTATGGCTTCACTTCATTTGTCTGTTCATACCTAACGTTGGTAGGCATTTGGCGACACTCCGGTGTGTGGAACATCTGATCCATCGTGAGTGGTGTGCTGTGTTGCAGTTTGTGCTCAATTGCTATCCTAGCGTGAGCTTTGATAGATGAGAGGGCCAAAGAGGATCGATATGGGCGACGTCCGAGGGGCTCGATGAAGAGACTGACGACTAAAGACCCCATATCTGGTTCAGTAGTGAGCTTCTACGCCGAGGATGGAAGCAGGCTCTGAACCTTGTTTGTGCGACCAACAACCAAGTTGGTAGGGATCGTAGGATCGCAACCTTGGTGTGGTATTTCGTTTCCCAGCATTTTCTTTCGCTCACACCTAGCAGTCGCCTAGTTTGTGATTTGTGCCTGCCCACCTTTCTTCTTTTGTTCTTGTTGCGATACCGTAACATCTTGAACTTGGTCAGCCGTGGTTGAATTCAATACTTCACAACACACCTTCAGTCTTGACAAGCTCACACTCTCCTCCTACGCTGTCATCATGGCTGAAAAGACATCTCTCGGTTCTGGAGGCGGAAGCCCTGACCCAGAACGTCGTCAATCTGAACTCCAAACTCCTTCGTCACGATGGGCGTCTCTGTTTGGTGGCGAGGGTGTCACTGCCGGTCCTCGAATTGCCCAATTGCCCGAATTTGTGAGGCGTGATCTTTCAGACTCTGAGGATTCAAGCTCTGCCATTCTCAACAAACAGCTGGCTGCGGAGCAGGGAGAGCAGATCCAGTACCGCACTTGCTCATGGCAGAAAACTGCTGGTCTGCTTTTCAGCGAGTACATTTGTCTTGCCATCATGAGTTTCCCTTGGTCCTACAGTGTTCTCGGATTGGTGCCTGGTATTATCCTGACGATTATTGTTGCTCTCATCGTTCTCTACACCAGTCTTGTTCTCTGGGAATTCTGCCTCCGCCACCCGGAGATGCGCGATGTTTGCGATATTGGACAGATGCTATTTTGGGACAAGAAGTGGGCTTGGTGGGCAACTGCTGTGTGCTTCATTCTTAACAACACCTTCATTCAAGGCCTTCACGTTTTGGTTGGTGCCAAGTACCTCAACACCATGACCGAAGCCGATGATGTTGGTAGCTGCCGAACCGTTATGTTTTCGGTTATTGTTGCTCTTATCAGCTGGGTTTGTTCTCTGCCCAGGACGTTCGACATGATGGCCAAGCTCGGAACAGCATCGGCTTTCTTCACATTCATTTCCGTGCTGCTCGCTGCCATCTTTGCTGGTATTCAGGACCACCCATTTGGATACGATCCTGCAAAGCTGGGCGAGCCTATCGTGACAGCTATCCCTGTCAAGGGCACGACTTTTGTCAACGGAATGTCCGCTTTTCTCAACATCAGCTACACCTTCATCGGCCAGATTACCCTTCCCAGCTTCATTGCAGAGATGCGAGATCCCCGGGACTTCCCCAAGGCTCTGTGGGCGTGCACGATTGCTGAGATCATCGTTTTCAGTCTCGTTGGAGCCATCGTATATGCTTATACTGGCAACCAGTATGTGACCGCGCCGGCTTTTGGTTCGCTTGAAAATGTGTACAAGAAGGCGGCCTTCTCGTTCATGATTCCTACAATCATCTTCCTTGGCACCCTCTATGCCTCAGTATCGGCCCGCTTCGTCTTTTTCCGACTCTTCCGCAACTCCAAGCACTTGAACAGCCACACTCTTGTTGGTTGGGGATCTTGGAGTGGAATTCTTCTTGTCACCTGGATCTTTGCTTTTATCATCGCCATGATCATCCCCTTCTTTAACTCTTGTAAGTACCCGAAGAAGAGCTATTGCATCGGTCATTGCTAACCACTACCTTCCAGTGCTTTCCGTTATGTCGTCTCTCTTCGATAGTTGGTTTGGCTTCATTTTCTGGGGAGTTGCTTATTTCAGAATGCGCAAAGCCGATAAGGAGATTGGGCGACGACATGGCAAGATCGCTGACCTTACCGGAAACATTGTCAACCTCATCTTGATTGCGATTGGTATTATGTTCCTTACTGTTGGTACATATGCCAGTGTACAGGGCATTATCGATCAGTACGAGGCTGGCACCGTGGCTGGCGTATTCTCGTGTGCGTCCAACGGTCTTTAAATGAGAGGAGAGAAGGGAGAAGTTGTAGAGAAACACGTTATGCAATGATACCCGAGCTGGAACAATACACGCGGAGTTGGTCTTTCTTGATCGAGACGATGGTGAGCTGCTTTCAGCCACGATCGATCCCGTTACGGAGTACACAACATTGTAGAATTGGATGCCTCATGATGAATCATTGAGATAGAAATTGACATGTCGTAGATGTTGAAGTAAAGTTGAAGTGGAGGCTGAGGCTCTGCCTGAGCTGAACCTTAGCTCGACGCCCACACCAACCAGTTCTTGCCAAGAACGCCCAGAACCTGTTGTCACATGCGCTTTCCCAATGTTGCACTTTTCTTTCAAGCATATTCATATCATACGTTGCTAACCCAGCTCGAGTTGAATCAAAATTAGTGAGGCAAAGTTGTTGTTGACTCCAACGTATAGTCTAGATGTCGATTCTAGGCATTTGACAGCATTGGCCTACCTTGGCATCTGTTGTATTCAGATGGAACCTTCGTTCCTAAGCCATCCCGAACATTGACCAGTAGTGACGCTGAAGAAGCCTTCCTTGTATATTCAATATATATTTAAACGCAAGTTGAGTATTTGGAAAAGACACGTTGGCAATATAGTATTCGTATTCGCACTCCATGGGGCTCAAGAATCGCATTCTGTTGCATCCTCAATGTGATGGTCCACCTATCAAGGCAAAAGCCCTACCAGATTGCCGCAATTACGCATCTTGCCAACAGGATCGAGAGATAGAGCTAGGGAGTTTCCAAGAAATACCGAATAATCGTATGGTCCTGGTGTTTATCAACGGAAATTGACGGTCCCGAATGGCACCACTCGAACCATTTCCCCTCTTGTCGTTCGACAACTTTGTTCAAAGGATGAAGAGGTTTTTAGTTACCTAGATATTTACTTAGCTATAATTGAGGTCAGAAGCAACAGTGGCACAGCCAACTGAGCGCAGTGTAAAATAAAGCTATCTGAGCTATCACTGCTGGGCAATGCTGCTCAGTCGCTCATGATACACACAAATAAACTCATCTCAAGTGCCACGCCATACAATTCGCCTCTCTGAATGGCTTGCCCAACCATGCCCCGCCTTCTTGAACCCCTCAAAAACCATCCGCCTGGTCCCCTGAATTTCTCCCCCACCCGCCAAATCTAGCCCCTAACCAACCCATCATTGGTCAGAATACCAATTAACATTTGGACCTGGATTTTCACCGCCTTCCACGTAGCTTTCTCTGGCCCCTGTTTCCCGCGCCGCAGCTACCAAGGAGGCAAATGTATCACATTCTTTTTTCATTCAACCGTCCTTGCACTTTTTCGTTCTTCGCGGGTTTAGACTTTCTTTCACTTTTTCCTAAACCATCGAAGGAAAGATGCCTGCGACAAATTCATCTACGGTCACTTCGAGGGCAAAGGGCGATAGCCCAAGCCCAGCTCCTGCGCCAGCCGAAGGTGCTGATAAGAGCCACGATTTCTTCTGGACATACACGGAGGAGCCTCATCGAACTCGCCGTCTCGCTATTATCAAGGCTCACCCCGAGGTTCGTGCTCTGCTGATTGGCCCCGCTGTGTCATGACATGTCGCTAATCTTGCCTCCATCCACAGATCACCAAGCTTTGCGGTCCTGAGCCTCTCACGAAATGGGTCGTCCTCGGTGTCGTCTCTCTCCAGGTCTTCCTCGCATGGATGCTCCAGTCGACTCCTTTCTTCTCATGGAAGTTCTGGGCTGTCGCCTACGTCTTCGGAGCCACTGCCAACCAGAACCTTTTCCTCGCCATTCACGAGATCTCCCATAACCTGGCTTTCCGAAGCGCCCGTCTCAACCGTCTGATCGCCATCTTTGCCAACCTTCCCATCGGTATTCCTTATAGCGCTTCGTTTCGAGTATGTGACCTAGATCGCATTTCGATATCTGAAATAATGCTAACACTCTACAGCCATACCACCTTACCCACCACAAGTCCCTCGGTGTCGATGGCCTTGATACCGATCTTCCCACTGCCTTCGAGGCCTTCGTTCTGGATTCGATTCTCGGAAAGGCCTTCTTCTGCACTTTCCAGATCTTCTTCTACGCCCTGCGACCCATGGCTGTCTACCGCGTTCCTTTGACTGGAGTCCACGCCCTCAACATCGCTGTCCAGGTCGCCTTCGATCTCGTTCTCCTGAAGTACGCCTCTGTCAACTCTCTCCTCTACCTGCTGCTCTCCTCCTTTTTGGCCGGGAGTCTTCACCCCCTGGCTGGTCACTTCATCGCCGAGCACTACGTGTACGAGACCGTTGCTCCCTCCGCTCGTGACCCGGAGAACAAGATCCCCGTTCCCGAGACCTTCTCTTACTATGGACCCCTCAACTGGTTCACCTACAACGTCGGACTTCACAACGAACACCATGACTTCCCCGCAGTGCCCTGGACTCGTCTTCATAAGGTGCGCGAAATTGCTCACGAATTCTATGATGACTTGCCCCGCCACGAGAGCTGGTGCTATGCCATCTGGCGCTTCATCTTCGATGAGAACGTTGGCATGAGTTGCCGTGTCAAGCGTAAGCAGGGTGGACGCCTTGTCGGTGGCGGTGCTGTTGCCGACTGGAAGCAGTCCGAGATCGAGTCGATTTAGAAGCAAGGCAAAAGTACATATAATTCGTTGTAATGCAGCTGTTTTTATTCATCTTGTGATACGGGGTAAGGCTTATCAAGGCCATGATCAACTCGAAAACCGGCCGCTTTTGGTAGATTTTTGTCTGAGCTAGGCAACATAGATTCAGGCAAATAGACCATAGGACACAGATATTGCATGGCGTTAGGGTATGGACAAAAATACAAATACAATCTTTTGAGCGATCACAAAGCTTAGAGACCGACTCTGTGACGTAACGAGCTATCACGATTTGGTTTATGTGCAACGACTCCAGACGTTCAGTCCGTAAAATGTAAATAATCGAGCGGCTAAGCTTGCAGATGGCCGGAAAACACGAAAGATGAAAAGGAGAGTCGATGAGAGATACAAGTTAGAACTCCGAATTTATCAGTTAACGCAAACAGAATAATACGACACAAGAAAATACGAGAGCCGCGAGAGGCTCAAGGTAAGAGTGTACAGTCAAAGCTCCCGCCTCGGAAGCCACATCCTCCTCCCATCGCTTTTAAACTCCTCGACGAAGCTTTCATCCCCAGCTGCAATGCGTTCAAAGCCCTGCTGACCGAAACCACGCTGGCCCAGAGACATGGTCCACTGTCCCCAAGGTACCCTTCCAAGTGGGTTTCGATTCGTACTGAGCTGCGAATCCTGCAGTGTTACGCCGATCGTATGATATGCTTCCTGATCCTATGCTTTAGCCTCGCCGTACGTTGAAGATTTATGCATCCGGGGATCCCAAGTCTCCGGCTGAGTTCTCATGAGCGTCGTCAAGCCTGTCTATTAGTTTCGTTTGTCGAAAAGATACAAGGGCTGTCACCTTCTCCTTAATTCTAGAAGAAGAAGTAGGCAAGCAAGAAGCTGACCAAGCAAAGAATGGCCGCCATTTGCACAGGAACACCTTCGACGGTTTGGGTGACAGCTTGGGCGGTCTGGGCGAGAGGTCGTTTGTCATCATCGCCGGAGGCGGACTTGACATTGCGCTGTCGAAGACCGCTATCCTTGAGAGCTACAAGCTGCTGTTCGGCCTGGGCAAGCTTAGCCTTAAGCTCCTCATAGGTCAGCTCTGCAGTCTCTTTGATGGCCGTTGTAGCTTGAGCGATAGTGCTCTTCACATCGGAGTCCTCGTAGGTAGACTTGGGTTTCTCATCCTCATAGGTGGATTCTTTGGGCGATTGGTAGGGAGGGGGTGCTGCCGAGGATGAGGGCGACTCGTCTCGAATTCCAGGTGAAGAAAATGTACGCGAAACGTCGGGAGTGTCGTTGATCTAGATTATACCATTAGTTGTCAACCTCTAGATCAGAGTCGGCGAAACTTACACCGTTGGCAATAGCTTGCTTGTTAGGCGTGGAGATAGGCCGGTTAGGAGCTTGGTCGGCGTCACCAGCCGCGAGCCAGTTGACTCGAATCTTGCGCTCGACAAGGTGGGCTTTGTCGGTCGTTTCAAGCTGGTGATTGAGTTAGTTTAAAGTCCGGATTTCGGGATCGATTTGCTACGCACGACATTGGCAACGCTGGCAAACTCCTTATCGGCGGTGATCGGGGCGGACTGGACAAGGAACTTGTCACGGCACTTAGCGTCAGGAGCGGGATCCTGCTTCATAGCCTGGAGAAGGACTAGGTGATCGTTAACGGCTGCCGGCATGCGCTTTTAGGAGCAGACTCACCAGAGACATCGAAGCTCTGGCCGGCCTCGATGCGGCCTGCATTTGGTCGAACACAGTATCTAGTGAGGAGACGTCAGGTATGCGATCGGAATGGCTTGGTTTGAGGGGCAAGCATACTGTTTGGGAGCAGTGGTCTTGACCTGTTCTTTTTATCAGTAAATCCGTCGCATGAGAATCGCTGATCTACTGACCTTGAAAGCCACGGGGGTAGGGTTGGGGTTCTTTAGAGTCAAGGTCTGGGAGACCTCGGTGGTGAAGGGGCCTAGCAATCATGTCAATCCTCGGAAGTCCGTCATCATCCATCGCAGATCACGCACGTCTAAAGGACAGCTCAAATGGCTCGATATCGACCGACATTCTGGCTTGCTATCGTGGTAGCGGTAATAAAATGCTGAGGTTGTTATGATTTGTGGTATCGCGCGATGGTTCCTCGGCGGTAACCAAGTGGAAACGTGGCAACGGGAGGTAGAGTACAGTATGAAATGTCGTTGGTTGATTAGCAAAGGGGGGGAGTTTGATTAAAGGTAAGTTAAAAGTATAGCAACACGAGGCTGCAGCGAGTCGATAAGATTTGAGGAAGTTGGTCGCGTGGGAGAAGGAAGAAATTGGTGACGAAATGAAAGATTAGTAGCAGTGGAGTGTGGTGAGTTGAGTTGATTAAGGTATTGGATACCTGGAAGGGGAATGGAAGGCAGGTTGACGTTGGTTTGTGTCTTGGGGATCTCCTACGACGTAATTGCTTCTGCTATGGCGCGCCCTATTCCCAGTTGAGCCGGCTCAACTTCAGGTGGTTGCTACAGGGCGCACGAGCCATCAGGGGGCTTAAACTCCGCCATCAGTCTGCCAGCTCTCCACTTTCTTTTCTTCTTCATCATCCCGGTCATCAGCAACATCAATCATTCGCATACACATCACTAAAATAAATCTTTCGCTTTCATTTCCATTATCATGGCTATTTTTGGAGTTATCCGAGCAGCAGCACTCCAACCATATACGATTCGCTCTGTAATTCAACCACTAGTTCAACGATGTCCTGCAAGGAACATCCGTACTAGACGACACCAACCATGCCAATGTACTCGTCAAACTATAGCACAAAGAGACAAACAGATTGCTCAAATGTGGAAATGGATGAAGGAGGAGCGTCAAAAAAAGAAAGAGCTGGAAAAAGCTGCTAAGAACACCTAAATAATTATTAACTAAATTTTCTAATTTCTTTAGCTCTCCTGGTACCAAAAAGGACACATTTCTTTCGATTGTTCTCTCGTTCTCTCGATTAGATTCTCAAGTTTCGAGGCGCTATCGGTAGTATTCATGTAAGTTCCCATTCAGACAAACTCAAGTAAGTACTAATATCTAGAGCAGGACTTCAGCCAATGGTTGCCAATTGCTGGGATAGTTCTGGGACAAGCCATTAAATGGATTACTTCTTTCTTTTTCTAGAGAAATAGTTATTTCAAAAGCGAAGGGCACGATAGGCAAACTCGAGGTAACGGAAGGTAGCGTCAGAGCTTGGCAGATTCGTTAGCGCAGCCGTCATGAACTCAGAACTCTCTATTCTTTGTTGAGCATCGACAAACAATCTCGAACAGTTTTGATACCCACCTCCATATTCATTGAAACATTAACAGACAAGGGATGAGCAGAGTGATCTCTCGTGTGGAGAGTAAGTTGCATTGATGGTTTGGGGCCATCAAACGAAGATGACTTTTGCAATATTCGCCGAATGAGTTGGGAGAGTGTGTCGTTATCTGTAACTCTTGAACCAAAGACACTCGAGACCATTTGACCTGAGGACCATAAGAACTGTTCAGAAAACGTTCCATGTTTTTTTTTTTTTTTTTGAAAAGACTTGTCTCAGCACTCTCGTCAATCGTAATCGAGGTCTCGAGTTTTCCCACATTCTCTTCTAAGCTGAAGAGGTTCCCTCCAGCGCAACAGCCATGGATAGTATCTGAGTATCAGAGAATCTGAGTACCAGAGAGTTGTTCCTCGGAATTCGGAATTTGCTGCCCAAGGTTCGCTGCATTTTCTTGAACATTTGAGACTCGACAGGCTGTGCAACTCCAGAACGAAAAAAATCCTTCAAATTGGTGAAACCTACAGTGCAGTTTATTGACTCTAAATGCTGACAAGAACGTGGTCAGCTCGTGGGTGGTGACAGTCGGTAGTTATATGGCTTGGGCTGTGTTACAAACATCACCAACCGTTGCTCAACTCAGGCACGGGAATGTCCTATTGATGAACTTTCGCGGCTGGCGCGATGGACGACTTGACTAAATATCACGACATGTTAACCAATCGATCGCACTCAAAACTACCTTAGCCTAGCAACTACTCGAGGGAGAATAAGACGTCTAAAAATATCCTAAACATTGAATTCCGACGCTACGGATAAGTCAGACTCAGCCTACCACAGTCCTCCAAATCCAACAGAAAGGTGGATTGCTAGGCTCACAGGAACGGCCATCTGCGGGTAGGACCCTCGTATTTGATCGACACGAGGCGGTGCCATGGGCGGCTACTCCATTTCTGTGCTCCTACGTTACAGTAGGAGTAGAGAATCATTCTGCGGCTGACTGAATTCTTCTGGAACAACCGCTTATGGCGCAAATGTGTGTGTGTGTGTGTGTGCTGCTCCTGTCTCAAAAGGTTGCAGTAGGGCTATTCGGCACTTGGCTTTGGTATTTATACGAACAGATCTCCAGAGTCATGTGGACTGAATCCGAGAAGATCACCTCTTTATACGATATCTAGATAGATCTCTCGTATCTCTTGCAGTATAATACTCGATATTAACCCCAGTATTGTTTCAACTTATCCTTGCACAACTCTCACCACCTTCATCATGGGCTGCAACAACTCTCGCCACATCCTCGAGATGGAGTCTCGACCTATCCGTCCTGTGACCATCTCAAGCCATTCAGTTGGCTCTGTCATGGCTCCCTCGTCCATCTTCCAAGACTTCCCTGAAACCTCAGAGTTGAGTCGACAGCAGATCATCGACGCCTTTCAACACATGGCCAAGTACCTGAACGAATGTGGCACATACGTGAACTGTGCTGTCGTTGGTGGTGCTGTAAACGCACTTTATCTGCGTCACAGAGAGACAACTCCCGACGTCGAGTTCCTTCTTCACGATCCTGCCTCGAAAGAGTACATCACACTCAGCAACGCTGCTAGTTTCGCCAACAAGAAGGCTCAGGGAACTCTCGGAGAGCAGTGGTTCAACAACTCGATGCAATTCTTTGTGCCTCGAAATATCCAGGTCGATATTCTTCAATGGGCCAAGGACCAGCATGAAGTCATCTTCGAGCATCGCGGTAACTACGGTGGTCTGGCAGTTTACGCCGCCCCGTGGGACTATGCGTTGTGCAGCAAACTCAACAGTCTCTGCGACAACATCCGAGCCGACGATATGGAGGATGCAGTTGCATACCTACATCGATATCTGACTCTTACTCGTCAAGAGTCTCTCAATGGGAACCAAGTCAACGATTGGTGCAGGAAGTACCATCAAGATGTTTCGCGAGATGTGCTGAATCGTCTTGGAGAGGCGTATGCTCGAAAGCACGGTAGCTGGCCGCTTCAGTGGTGAAGCCGGCTGCAGGAGTATTAAGGATTTGTTTGGATGTTAGATGTTAGATATAGATGGCATGAACTTATGATGATACCCAGCTCATTAGCGAGCGCACTTAATGATAATACTTGTTTGAATCGGTAGATGCGTTTGGATATTTAAAGTTTGTAAGGCGATGATTCTGGGAAGCTTGTCTCTCGTAGATGTTCGTGTTTGAACAAGCATAGGGTTTCCAGTTTTCGAGCATGTTGAACTGTAGGAAATAATGTCTTCAGTTTTACTATTCATCATGAGAAGAGAGAGAAATTACTGCCTGTATCGGAATATCAGTCATGATTACGCCCGTGCTTAACCGTAGTAATCCCGGCGACGTCACTGAGGCAGCGGCTTGAATGACGTTCTCAGGCTTTACCTAAGCTTTGGTTTCAGCATCAAAGGACAACTCAGTGCAAAGGCATATTCCACTTTGAATTTATTCACGACTGGGATTTTTTTGCCTGTCCCACCAATTCTCTGATACTTAAATAAAACTCCGTCCCTTCATTCTCTCCATCTTCCTCTACTCAACTCATTAACAGTTGCCCCTCATCCAACCCCACTATCACCAACTGTTACCAAACAACACCGCCAATATGCCTTCTGATCTCGATACCCTGCTCGATATGGGCTTTGACAAGGAGCGTGCTGAGATTGCCGTCAAGAAGACTGGAGGCCGTAAGTTAGACTTTTCGAATGACTCGTTCAAGGCTAACTTTGGTAGTCCAGGGCGCTCTTCAGTGGCTTGAGGATAACCAGGACAAGCCTATTGATGAGATCAAGGCTGCTGCTGCTGCTAAGGAAGAGGATGACGACGAGGAGGATACGGAAGCCAAGATTGCAGAGCTCGAGACTGGCACTGCCAAGTCATTGATCTGCAATGATTGTGGAAAGAGATTCAAGAACCATGATCTGGCTACCTATCACGCGACCAAGACGTATGTCAACCTGACCCTACCATCTTCTGGGGAATGCTTGGCTGACTGAGACTACAGCGAGCACACTGACTTCTCGGAGTCAACAGAGGAGATTGCACCCCTGACTGAGGACGAGAAGAAGGTCAAGCTTGAGCAACTTCGTGAGCGTCTCGCCGCCAAGAGAGCTCTTCAATCTGTCAAGGACAAGGAAGATCACAAGCGCAACGAGGTAACAGAATCCATCCAGTCACACCATTCACTTAACCTAACATTCTCATAGCAAATTCGCCAAAAGTCAACCAAGGAGAGCCAGGAAGCAAAGGAAGAGCTGGCCCGCAAGCAAGCAGTCAAGGAAGCGGCCCAGAAGCGACAAGAGAAGCTCGAGGACCAGGAAGCCAAGAGGCGCATCAAGGCAAAGATCGAGGCCGACAAAGCTGAGCGACGTCGAAAGGCAGAGGAGGCCAAGGCAGCCCGCGAGGGTCGAGCTCCTCAAGTCGAAGCTGCTACTCCTGGTGGCGCTGCTGCTGTCGCAGCCGCATCTAAGCCCAAGAGCAACCACAACGAAGCCCGACTTCGACTACAGACCGATGGCGGAAACATCACCAAGACCTTGCCCGCTGAGACGACATTGTTCGAGCTAGCGCAACAGCTACAGAGCGAGACGGGGAATGCTGTGTCTAGCTTTACGACTACGTTCCCTCGCAAGACATTTGAGGGTGACATCGATTTCTCCAAGACCTTGAAGGAAGCGGGATTGGTTCCATCATCGGTCCTGATCGTCAAATAATTTCTGACGTAGACATGAAAGATTGTGCATGGCGCGG